GTCAAAGTTCACTAACAAAACTCAACGTGAGCAAATCCACTGGTCGCGGTGATTCCAGCTGAATGAATCGATTTCAAAGCTCAGTTTTTAAATGCTGTTTTTACAAGGTCTTAAGCGTGAAGGGCAAGTTCATGTCCGTTAAAAAATGTCTGAAAACAGGTTGTAATGGAATTTTTTAGCGAAGTTGGAATTTAGGGAGTGTGTTTGACTTAAAGCTACACGTGGAGTTTTGCCCTTCAGCTGCTCCGTCCTTAGCCTTCAGCTCTTTCCAGCAGACAAAAACAAATCCTCCTTACTCAAGTCTGTCTGACACTCTAACACAACTAGAAGGAGGGATTCGTTTCACGTCTGGCTGACGAGCACCGAATCTGATTTATTAAGATATTCTGTTTTTCATTTGCAGAAGTTCCCCTACAAACGCCTTCAATCTTTAGATGAGAATATGTGAAGAACAGAATGTGGTTTGGCTTTGTGAAGAAAGTTAAAGCACAAACAACATCCAATAATAGCTTACATTCAGGTGAATCTACAATTTGAGGAGAGTTTCAGAAGGTCATAAGGCTTGTCCACAGAGCTGAATGGACCAGTTCAGCCTAGAAGGCAGACAAGAAGTGACCAATCACAGAAAAGAACAGGTGATAATGAGGGCAGCAGATGAGAAAACATTGTGCTGGAACAAACCTGAAAAAAAGGGTTAGAATTAAAAGTTATAAGTTAAAATGTCTATAATTACAATCCCTTTTGCTGGAGCATCCCTTAAGTTCATTATTCAGGATGTTAAATTAACAAATGATGTTGCTTTTGCTCTCCACATCCTGGAATCCAGACTTCTTAAACATTTATCACTCATGCAGTTAAAATTTACATCTAGTTAAATTTGTAACGGGAAGTTTGCATAACTTCCCGTTCTCGCATTCTAGCATTATATTATTTTCTTAACTCTGTGTACAATATGCAGGAAGGTCTTTTACATACTTTTAAAGTACTTTAGTGCTTCCTAATAATAACAGGAAATCAACACATACCAATGTATAAATGAATCAAAAGTTGCCCTCCCTATTTAGACTGTAACCTATCTTGTAGCTGCAATGCAATGCAATTTCCTGCTCCCGTTGATGTAGAAACAAGAAATCGGTTTCACTTTCTCCCATGAATTGTTGAATGTCAAATTGGCAGCAAAATCCTGCTCTGCTGTGGTAGCAGTGTTCAGTGTATCACATGGTCTGTTTGGACTCTTGTATAAAATAAAATTGTCCTCATACCCATGAAATAAAGGGACTGAAAGTACAAGAAGCTTTCAGATGTTTCAGGGAGGTTGTTTGATGTATTTTCAGACTCTGGCTGTGTGTTGGTTGCCGGCTGGGGGGAAGGTGTGACATCAAGCTGCCTTTACCTTTGTTTAGAGACACAGAGGGGGCTCTGTCCCATCACAATGGGACTGAGTGACCAGTGTGAGTGTCCTCTGTGTGTATGTGTGTTCCCTGTGTGGGGGGGGGTGGTGCTTGCCACACCCAGACTGATTGGCTGAGGCCACACCTCACTGTGGAATCCACTGGAACAAGGTCACATGTCAGCCTGTACAACTGTACAGAGTCTCTGTCTGCAGAACCAAACACTGTAAATAAATAAAATCACTCGCAATATCACAGTAGGAAAGTCCAGTTATTATGTCATTTCTGAGCTGACCTGGATTTTGCTTCATGGCTTCTCTTAACACTGGATTTGGGATTAATAAAGGAGGAAAATCAGCAATGTAGCAGTGTTTGTTGGTTGACAGATGTTTTTAAAAAGAGACACATGACATATTGACTATAAGCTGTGGAATAAAATGTGAAACCCACAGGTTTCCAGTATATTAACCACAGAGCGCTCATAAATCAACAGCTGTGTGTAAGTGAAACATTAGAAATCTGGTGAAAGACGTTGTGGTTCAAAACTACAGCAGATAGGCCGACGTTTTATTTCTGTGATCTAATACAATTACCCCGCTTATAACTTTTACATTTAAATACTTTCTTTTTTAACACCAAAAAGGAAAACACACCGTGACATGGCATGGTTTTCAATGCTTAAATAAGTAATAACAGTATGTAGTAGTCATAACTAGTTATATTTGTTTTTTACTATTGAGTCAATATTATTTATACAAGCATATGGATACCTGAAACCCATCATTGTACAGTAGATGGTGGACTTCAACCACATTTCCCATGATAAGCAGTGAGTTTTACAGCAGGGTTGCTACTGCAGACAGGAAGCAGAGAACTAGTTTGTGTATTTGAGCATCTATTGCTGAGAAAATAGATCACTTCCTGGTTAGAGCTTTTCATCTAAAATCAAAGGTAGTTTGTTAGGCTACTCCATAATAATTAACTTGTTTCAACTAGTTTTTCCACATTATTAATGTCAACACAACTTTTTAAATCAATGCATTTAAATGTTTATCTCGCAACCGAGTGCTGGTAATATGGTCCACTGAAGTACTTTTTTTTAGAGTGCAACAAACATGTCAGGTCCACCACCGAGACCCAGAATCAGAATCAGAATCGGAAACACTTTATTGATTCCCACAGGGGGGGGTTGAGCTCAAGTTGTGGGCGTGCAGATCGAGCTCAAGTTGTGGGCGTGCAGATCTCACAAAGTCAGATTTCTTTATAAAACCACGAGTATGAACAATTCCACAGAAAAGTCCTCTGTGACCACATTCACATCAGCAAGTTCAGTCTTCAAACGGGAAGACAAAAAAGTAAGAAGTGGAAGAGATGACAGCTTAATTTACAACTTCCACTAGTGTAGATCAGCAGTGTTCAATCTGGATCATGACCTCGCGCTGCGTCACAACATGGAGACCAGTGGGACTAGATTAGATTAGATTATAACTGATTTATCATTGAAGTCAGAAATGCCAATCAGTTTCCGTTTCAGCTTCTCCTGTGTGGAGTTTTGCTTCTTTTGTCTGTGTTATATCAGTTAATAATCAAATATATTTTAGTCTTGGACTATTTGTTGGTCAAGAAAAGAAATTTAAAGACATCTCCTTTAATTTATAAGCTAAATAAGTAATCAAAATAGTTGTTGTTGGCAAGCTTTATTTTCCTTTATTATGTCTTATAATATACTGTTGTCATTATTATGGACAATATAAATATGCTATTAAGTATTGATTGCTTGTAAAAAAAAAAAAAATATATATATATATACTGCTGATCAATGTAAGAGGCCTGTCAGGTTAATTTGCCGTTTAATAACAATAATAATAAGTTTATTAAGTTTCACTCTGACAGGGTATTAAACCTCTGCTCTTCACTCGTGTGTCCATTACACAGAGTATTGAAACCTGTCAAGTACAGAAGGCTTGCTCAGATCCCTACTCTTCTCTACTTCTTCTTTTCTGATTTGAATAATAATTTTGGAACACAATTTTAGACAAAGTTGTTGCATGGTTTCCTGTGTTTCGACAAAATGTAACATCTGAGAATTTGGGCTTTTGTTAGTTAAGTGAAATTTCTTTTTTATATTCTTGAAAGGAAAGCACAGAGAAGAGTATTGTGTTGGTCTTGGCACACAAACCCAGATATCGTATATATATTGTCAGTACTGACACATTTCAAATGATAACCAGCGCTACACCTCACTGAATATTGAGGTCAAGATATGCTGAAGTTTAGAGGAAACCTTCAAGTAGATGATTTACATCTGTAGATTTAACACTATTAATAAGTTCCCATACAGATATATTTGTAGGAGTACTAGTAATTCTCAGAGTACATTTAAATGTGTGAGAAAGGAAGTGGACATGGTGAGAAAATGGAGACAGAAAAAAAGCGAAGGGGTGTGTGTGTGTGTGTGTGTGTCGAGTCCCTCTGCCTCGGCACTCCCCACACCTCTCTCTCTCTCTCTTTCTGTGTGTGTGTGTGTGTCTTCTCCCTCTGGCTTCCAGAAAAGGGTGTGTCCGCCTCTTGCACTGAAAGGAGCGGAGGGTCATTCACGGCTACTCCTCCATGCTCTCCTCATCTCTCTCTGTTATTTCTCTTTCGCTCTCATTCCCTCACTGGCAGCCTCAGGATTAGGCCTTTGTCTCTCTGCCTCCTCTGTCTGTCTCTTTGCCTTAATTTTTCTTGTCTTTTTTCAAACAGAGAGTGTGCTTGTGTGTGTTCTAACCCCCCCCCCCTTCTGGCAGATTTTTGAGAGGGGGGGTTTTCTTTAGCCAGCCTTTTGAGCAGAGGTAATGCTTGTTGTCATGTGTTTTTTTCCCCCTCCCAATTCTATTTCCTGTCTTGCTTCCTCTCCTACCTGTCTTCCTCCCCCACTTCCTGCCCTCTAATCTTTTCTCCTCCCTTTTTTCACATTTTTCTTCCTTCTCCCCCTCGCCTATTTTACCCCTCATTCTTCAAATCCTTGAACAAATCCCCTTCTTTCATCACCCTCTCCACTCTTTCCTGGAATTAGTTTTTTTTAAAACTTTGTTTCTCACCATCCTGTCCCCTCTTTTTCCCCCTGCATTTCTCCCCCCCCCCTTATTATACTCCTCACTACCCCCCTCATCACTCCCCTTCCTCAGCCTCCTGCTTTTCCTTCCCTAACCTTCTGCTTTCTTCTTCCTGACTATTTTCAGAGGATCCCTCCATCCTCCTCTCACCTTCTGTCTCTTCTTCTCCTCCTCAGTGCCAGTCGCACTCCTTACCAGCCCAGAAGAAGATCGCTTGTTCGGCGCCCAGAAACAGAAGCCACCAACAAGCTTCCCTGACCCAGCAACAACCCCCGCCCATCATCACACCCCCGCCCCTCGCTATTCCCCATGTAGATGTGTTCATTCTTGTTATAGTCTATCATGTACTTCATCTGTTTTATTTTATGGACCACACCTAGTGCTGGTCCCGCTCTTATTCGCGATGTATCC